AAATTTTAGAAATTGTTCCTTTTTCCCCACAACAATAAAACGTTCTGAAGTCGACAGAGAGAAAGAACAAATATTACTTGTGCCTTTATGGTATTTACTTTTCCTTGTGCCTTTAAAATAATTTCCGAGCTGTTTCTTTTTATGGCCCTTGAAATAGTGTTATCAAAATTTAATAAGTCTTAAATGTTGCAAACATATTTACACAAAAAAAATTTTTATTTATCTTAGTTTTCAATTTAAGAACTTAAAAATCATTATTAATAATATGATAATGTATATTTTAGAGAAACGAACGTCGAACTTTGCTTTTTAGGAATAAAGAAAATGTAAAAAGACGGCGCAAAAGTACCCAGTGGAGAAGTTGCCTCGAAAGACGATCCGTCTTCAGGAATAAGCCCAAGCTGTACAAGCACAATGAATCTTCGGGTCCAGAGGCGTTTCTGCAGATAGAAAAGAATGCTTAAGAAAAAAAGGATAGAAAAAAGAAATACCAGGGAATGGAAAAAGAAAAGCAGTAAAAAGTCAAGGAAGTCTTTTTTCAAGAACAAGAGCTATCCTATATCACGATCCTTCGGTAAATGGTGCAATTAAATGAGCAACTGAGTCTTCAGTGGAGTTTACTTGACAAGACAATTTATCAGCACCTGACGAATAGATCGATCGGCTTCATTAAAAAAAAACACAATAAAAATATAAATGAAATTAGAAAATCCCTGAAAGATGATCTCGTATAATTTATAAGAAATGTTAAATATGTGTTTTATGGTAGTTTGAAAACTAATTTGAAAATTATTTTATTACAATTTTATTATCAATCAATAAAGATGTTCTTTCACTAATCTTATTTTCAACGCGCGGAAACTTATTGACAACCTCTCACATAGAAAGCAGTCTTGCGAATAAAACTCCTTAACAACTAGACGAAACGCTTCCGCTCTTATAACGGAAGGAAGAATGATTTATTTTGAAATTGAACTTCGGTGGTTGTGTGGAAAATAAAAGAAAAAACACAAAAGGAAAAATAAAAAAAAAGAGTGCAGCAAACGTTCTCAGTACCAAGACAAGAGAGTTTTGGTCTTTTCTTTTATTAAAGTTTAGTTTTCCAAACTTTCTTTGGATGAAGAAATTTTTTATCAAAAGCATGTTAGAGCACAATACTTGAATTGAAATGGGAAGGGATTTCAAATTTATATATAGACAGCAATGCCAAATGTTCAGCTATTTAATCGATATACAATAGTTGGCTAAGCGAAAACATAAATTTATCTCTCTCTAATTCTCTGTTGCCCACACCTCTTATTCATTTTCACCCCCTCAACCTCCTGCAAAACCATCTCAGGATGTACACGCGAAACTTATGTTGGCAAACTAAGTTAGATTCACCTAGTACTGTAACCGGATTAATTTCTACTGTTTCTCGCGGTTTTGGAAGAGTTTCTAGAGAGATCGAACTTTCCCATCGCCTCAGGAAATCAAGTTGCTTCATAGTTGGGTACTGATGTTCTGTCTCTTTGAGTTTGTTCTTTAAATTCATTATAAGAATGAAGAGATTTGACGTGCACTCAACTATTTTTGGAAAATTTAACAAAATGAATTAAAGAGATCCTTATTTAAATTTCCTTTAAAGAACTTTAAAGGGATTTTCGATTTATTTTACTTTTTGCTATTTCTCCTATGGTTAAGCATTAAAAATTAATAGCATCTGGCAGTAGAACGCTAACTGTATTATTCATTGTATCATTTACTTTTTTATATAATTATTTACTTTATGCAAACCCAACATAATCTCGGAGTGCGGAATCCAAAGTATTTGTAATCAGATTTTCTAAAAGTCCCTGTACAGAAAGAATTAAATACTGTAAATTAATGCCTTTCCTGACAGAAAGTATTCCTGAGCCAGTTGCAGGTCTGTATTCAGTATTGCATCTGAACTTGACATCGCAAGCTGCAACAAAGATAAAGATGAATGAATTAAGCTGTGGGATAAAGAGGCAGCATGCATTGATAGAATTTGTAACGTTGCAATTTTGCTCTTTTAATTTTGTCCTCGAGCATGGTGCAAAAATGTGAAGCTCTCCTTCATATTCTATATTTTGTAACTTAAATAAGGAGAAAATTATAATAAGCTGTAAATAACCTGTAAAAATAATTAAATTAATAAGCAAATTAAAGCAATTCATAAATAGATACATCTCAAGGATCCAAGAGTAATCCAAACTAAATATTACTTGTCACTGCCTTTCAATAATGTTTTCAGCCTATCAAACGCAGCTAATTTGGCGCGGAGCTACTATTTACAAATTGACTCTCAGTTGGATCGAGTAGAGCCAGAAGAAACAGTTTGAGTATGAAGCAGACCAGGACCACCAATAATAATTGTTATAATTATTATTTTATTAATCTTACTGCTCCATTTGGTCCGAGTTGCACACATAACCAAGATTAACTGTTCTTCATTAACATTTGTACAACGCGCCTGCGAGGCTGCGACCTGTTAACCCTATGAGTATGAAAAAGAAAATTTTCATACTTATCGGCAGGGTCGCCACCGCACATGGGCTTTTGAATAGGCGAGAAAAATATATAGCACGGTCTTCATGTTTTGACCGCAGTGGCCAACGCTTTATTATAGTGACAGTAAAGTTTTTAGTCTTTTATAAGTAAATAAAAAAGGAATATACAATTGGAATATTAAATTAAAAATAGAAAACACTCGCCGAAGATTAATTAAAATGGCAGTAAGTCAAAGTGTCATTAAAGAATTATGTTAAAGCCAAATTAAAGTATAAAGAATCTTGGATGCTTGAACATTCTCTACTTATTGAAACTTTTACATTTTCTATTTTAATAATTTAAATTATTGTTCTTTTCTATTAAAGTAAATCGAATTGTGTGTGATATTAAGTTAACTTTGTGTTTATTTATTTAATAAAAATCATCCTATGAATCCACTTAGCCGGGTAAAATAAAACTAGATAAATATAGCATCCAGGAGGGTAAACTCTGTGAAGAGATACCAGGATACATTCCCTCCGCGGAAACTTCCTGCTATCTTGGAGAGATACATCGACCTCCACGTCCGAACGAACAACGTTCACGTGCCCTTGGATATCATGGACGTCGCATCAATGCATCTGCAATGCTATAACGTCTATGTAACTAAAGGAGGCGGTTTAGGGTCCATCTTAGCCAGATGGCAGTACCCTGTTAAGGCCCGATAGTCTCTCGATACGGGGCAAACATCAAGTATGAGCGATTGTAAAAACATGGAAGAGTACCTGCGGGGTAATGCTTCGGATAAATCCCTCACTGGTTCTGATCGTCAAGCGCCTGGTGTGGGGACGGTGGCCAGTGGCCCAAGGATTCATTAGGGTAACAACGCGTTGGTGGTACCAAGAATTGTCTTGGAAAGAGTAGATAGACGAGGAAGTACGAGCAGCGTTACAAGACAAGCCAGCTGCATTTCTGTCTTCAGTAATGATTCGGCTAATGACATTGCTTGCTGCAATAAAGACCGAGATCAAGCTATAAGGCTGCGCGAGGAAGAAGCAGCTTGCATTCAAAGAATGTCGAAAGAGGCCAGTAAGATGCTGAAGCCCTGTGATGTCCAGAAAAACGTCAATATGACGATTAAGGACGGATTAAAAAGCATAACAACGCTCATACAGGAGATTAAGGAAAAGCACGCAGCTGCAAAAAAAGTAGATGAGAGGTTCTACCAACAATTAGTGCGGTCAGAGGAATCAAGACAAGATCGAAGAGTTAGACGCGACCGTTTAAACGCTGTAGTGTTAAGAAATGTCGTCTTGGAAGGTCAGAAACGGAAGAGGAACAGTCCTGAGTTGAATAAAAACTCAAAGAAGACGAAGAATGAAGGACCTCCAAAAAAGCCGAAGGACAAAACACAGAAAGAAGGAAGGCCAGAAAGAACACAGAAAGAAAGAAGAGATCATCAATGATCGTTAAGGTGGCTGAAGATTCGAAGTTCGCAACAGTTCTGGGGACGATTCGTAAGGAAGTAAACCCAGAAAAAAGCAATACAATTTGTATGGAAGCTGTACCAACCAAAAAGGGGGACCTCTTTATCAAACTTAGAGGTTCTTCTGATAAGTAGACCTTCACCAATGAGGTGAATAGGGTGATTGGTGACATGGGTAAGGTGCAGATTGTGGATCGGCCAACTACTTTGGAGATCTGCGATCTGGATCTGGATCAACGTCGATAACATGGTGTCTATTGAGGAAAATAATCAGGGTCTTGATGTAAAACTTTTGGGTCCGAATACTGTTTTCGATTGTTACGGATCATTCTAATCCGGTTTCTAACTAATTTTAAAATTCTTGCCTGTTAAATAAAATATTTAAAAGTAGTATTAGGTATTTCTGTGATTTTGAACCAGTACAATTGTAAGTATTTGGTAAGATTTACTATTGTATAACCACCTTAATAAATTGAACTATTTTAACAATAAATTGTCAATTATTGTCCAATCTTTTCTTTCTTGTTAGTTTTTAAATAAATTATTAGTTTCTTTAGCATAAATTCTTGTTAATTTTCCTATACTTGACAAAAATCCAAGTGAAATGTTCCTCCATATTAAGGAATCTTGATAAATTAGTTTTAGTAAGTTGTCCGGGTTTGTTGAACGAAAAGCGACTTTGTTTGACAAAGAAAGCTCTAATTTGGTTAAGTGACATGCTCCTATGGTTAAGAAGTTGCAACCTGTGGTAGGAAAAGTCGTGTTAGTTTAGTGTCGTTAGTATTAATAATTCAGGGTTCACTAAATCATTCTATCTTATTTTTTATAACAACCAAATGATCATCATAATTTACTGTCAATTGTTAATCAACTTTCATCGATACAGTATATCGGAATATATAAAATTTTATATTCTAAAGTAGAGTTAATAAAAAGTACATAAAATTCTTTTTTTAAAATTTATTTTTCACACTTATTACAAAATTAAAAAAAAAACTGCAATTATATTACAAGTAAAATATAGTAAAATTACATAGAAAATGTAAATGCTACAATATGTATATGTGAAATATTATTATAAAAATGTTGATTTTACAAAAACATTTTGAAGTCATCAGACAAATGTGAAATTAACCTTATTTATTTATTATCAATTATAAACTAACGCTTAACGTAATTGAATCGAGTGTATAAAACTAAATTACTAGTTTCTACGATTAATATTATAAATTACAGTAATTGCGCAAATGTGTCATGAATAACTGAGTTAATGAAAATAAACGCGTAGAGATCAGAGAATGATACCGTCTGACCAAATCTATGTATAGTCCGCTTCAGTAGATAAGCGAGGTTTTGGTCAGGCAGAATCTCCAAATCACGGAGAATCGATTTATTATACAAATAAGCGAGTATTCAAAAAATAAAAACTAACTTTGTGCATTTCGGCATTTAATATGATAAAAAATTTGTTTTAAATTTTAACTCTCGATGCTATTTTCCCATTTTCCAGTAAATAAAATGTAAAAAAAAAATTGTAATCCGTCACCTGTCGTATCTATTGAAGCGAACACTTATATTTCACAGTTTTAAAAATTGACGGACCTGAAATTTATGAAATGATATTAAAAAATAAATCTTGAACTTATTTGAGAGTTTTATTTATTATCTCTATTTCTGGAATTATTACTGAATTTTCCCTTTTTTGGGTTAATACTGTTTTTTCTCGTGGAGAGTATGAAAAATTAAGTACGGCAGTGATAAATAATTGTCTTTTTTTTCGTTGAGCTTGTCAGTATTATTTAAAACTTTATAACGAAAAGAAAATGTAATTATGCATGCACTCATAGTGAAAATATTAAATTGTACTACATTTGGAATTTGGAAAAATTTTTACAGACAAGAAAAAAAAATTGCTCTTGAAGTAACTAGTGCAACAAGTTCATTTTAATCTTTGTAATTTTTGTTATCTTGCGTTAGTGGCGAACTTGTCGGTTTGTCACGATCACTTGAATCTGGTTTCGTTGATGATTCTGGTCGATCATAGATATAGCTGGTACCTCGAGATCCTCCTGGTGCTGCAGTGCTGTCATAAAAATAATCTCTGGGTCGATAGAACCTGAAACAAGGGACGTTAAATTGTCAAGTGGTCGTTAAAACGTTATATTCACTTCAAGAGGTTATTGAAATTACATTGGCCAACTGTGAAGACAGGAATGCGAGAAGCTCTCTCTCTCTCTCTCTCTCTTACTCCCCATCACTTGAAATTTCACGCTTTAAAGTCCTAATGAATTACGGCCTTTATTCGCAATAGTTAAAGAGAAAACCATTGTGTGAATAATTCCATTGTAAAGTTTATTCATTAAGATATTCTCAAGTCTTCAAGAATTAATAGATTACTTTTTTCTTTTTGAGAATAGAAAATTGTGTTTCGTTATTTTTATACGATTCGTTTCAATCAGAAGTTACACTTAAGATAATTAGTCACCGATTGACAATCTGTTTTACAGCTTTTTTCTATCCAGAAATTAGAACTTTAGGACATCTTAATATTGAAAGATAAGAATAAAAAAAGATCGAACTCAAAAGCGACAAAATTGGATTGTTGTAAAATTAAATGATTACGAAAAGGATAGAAAATTGAACTTGCTGTGTTTTGGGACCTTTTAATTACTCTTTTTGTGGCCATTAATTACTTCTAATGGTCTTTGGTTCTCGCAAGCAGTAGCTCGTAATCCCGAAGCTCGTATTTGAAGCGCTTAATTACTGTCAGTAAATCGCAATCAACGACATTTTGTGAGAAAGACTTTAGCACTTGTATAGACTCCTTTTAATTAGTGACTACAATAATTTCCACGATTTGTACAAATTATCAATTGATATATTTCTTTTAATTTAAATATAACAATTCTTATCTATAAAATGTCTGATAAATGTTAAATTCGCAATTTCTAAAATTATTTAGTGTATATAATGATTTTGCTAGATACTAACCCTTCTCGGTCACGATCACGATCTCGGTTACTATCTCGCCAGCTATCTCGGCTTCCGGAGTAGTTCCAACCACTGGCATATCCTCTATCGTATCCTGGTGACCAACTTCCGGAAGAGTAGTAGCCTCGGGAATTCGCTGGATCTCTACCTCCATATCTATCGTATCGGTCATCATATGGTCTTCGCCATCCACTCCTCTCGTAAGGATCATTGCGATCGTATTTACTCATATAATAACGATAATATCTATCATATCTGCTATCGTAAGCATCGTCTGTTGGTCGTCTAATATTGTAACGATCGTTTCGATCATCAGACGGATAACGTGTATCTAAATTGTCGTAGCCATTTCCACGTTCGTAATTGCGTTCGTAAGAAGGACGTTCATAGGGGCGTTCATAAAAAAGACGTGGGTCGTATGGACGATCTGATCCTGATCCTGATCCTCGATCGTAATATCCATAACGATCATTTGGTGTGTCATACCTAGGTGAATAAAAATAGAAATTAAGTCATTTTGATTTTTCTGTGATAAATGTTATTAGTACCATCGTGACACATAAGTGAATTAGTAACAGATTATCAATTTGGCTTTTGATAAAAGTATTCTGTAGTTAAACAGGTACACCGAATTATGAACAAAGTTAATCGAGGTCTAGAAGTATAAAGTCTACGATGCAGTATTGTTCCACAAATTTTTTATAATGTCCCTAGATAGTATTCCCATTTAGGATCGATAGCAATAACCTCAAAAAAATGTTAAAATCAGAAGAATGATAATTGTTGCAAAATGGGAAGGTCGGTTTATCAACCCTCACTGTACAGTTACTAACAATTGCGGATTAATAAACGAGGTATGATGATAAATATCTTGGAATACTCTTTGATATACTCTTAACGTGGAAAAATAACATTTGGAATAAACTTAAGCAACTTGTAATTAAACTACAAAAACTGCAATCGATATTGGAGAGAAGATCCCATTATTTAAAGCAAACCTTTATTGTATTAGTGTATAATGAAACCAATTTGGACTTTTGGAATTCAACTATGGATAACAGCGAGCAATTCAAGCATCGTTGTAATTCAATGATTATAATTTAGAACGTTAAGAATTATTACACAACCTCTGTGGTATGTTCCCAATGAAGTGATTTATCGTAATATACCTATACAAACAATGCAAAATGAATATCTTTTATTGGGTTTAAAATTCATCGATAATGTATTAACAATCGAGAAAAATTAAGGCGGACAAGAATATCTTTATGTTTTCATCAGAATCATCACTTTGTGATTGCTAACATTGCAAAGAGTATTATTTCTGTTAGTTTTTCCATATAAAACTAACTGGCGTCTGACTGCCGCGTTGGTGCTAATTAATTTCGATTTGTGACGAATAAGCAAAGATGATTTATTAATCTTTGCATAATTTTGCATTTATCATTTAACAATCGTTATAAAATGTATTGTTTACCTATCATTATAGTAAAGCGGCCGCAGCAAATCATTCCTTTGATATGGATCATAACGATCGTAATCCGTATTTTGAGTTCTTGCTCTGTCATAATAGTCGTAACGATCTCGATATCTTCGATCCTCTGGTTCATCTTCGTAATAATCGTTTTTAGGTCTTTGCCTCAATCTCCAATTATAGTTCCTGTAATTTGCAAAAATTTTAAAATCATTTTTAACTCGAAGCTAACATAAAATTATAATTATAAGAATTTCTACAAAAGGAATTGAATGTTACAAAAGACGAATATTGGGTTACATAAATGAATGTCTGAAATCAGTATAATCTGCTTAAGGTTACTGACCCTCGATCCGCTGTGGCAGATTTGTTGGGGTCGCAGGTGATACAACGAGATTCATAGTAAGCAGCATCGCGATGTTCAATTCCATCCGACCTAATGCCAACAATGCCGGAAGTCTGTGGGGCATTGTCATTGCTATATCTACTGGCGTAATTATACTGGTCCGAACGTGCTTGACGATAGAGTGCGCCAAGCGTACTGGCTACCGACGGCGAAGCTGTTGGAGTGATTACATGTGTTGTTGATTCAGTTGCTGATGCACTTTGTGAAAGAAGCAGCAGCACTGCAACCGTGTTGTAAAACTGAAAAAAGAAAAGGGATTTTAGTTTATTATAAGATACGAGAGAAACTAATGAAATATTCTTATTCGATTGATTTTAGATGCTCCAGTAAAAATTTGTTATGATCATACCCCAAAGCAGTGAGCATTCAACAGGATCAATATGTGTACCGCAGTCAAGAAAATTTTTTAATTATTCATTCCATTCCAATTGTTAATAAAAATCTTAAATCAATTGTAAAACTGGTTAAAAACAAAACCGAAAAATGTCAAGAAAGGAATGTTGCTTATAAATTTAATTGTAAGAGTTGCCCTGCAAATTACGCGTATTAATGAATATAAAAACAATAAATTTGTGTTAGGTGCACATCAACTAAATTTCAAACACGACTTCGATTAGCAGAATACAATTTAACTTGATCGTTTCCATGCTGCCAATTTCCAAAGAATCATTTTTAAAAATTGATATTAAACGTTATAATAATAAAATTAAAATTCTGTTTACAAACAATAACATTTTCATTTGGTTCCATTTCTAAGTAAATATCAACATCGTTTTACTTTCAACAATATGAACCACTACTGTGTATTTTCTTCTCTACACCAACGAAATAATTTCTCTAGTTTGCATTCTCAAGCCTGGCATGAAAATAATGCATAATGCATCAAGTTACGCAAAGGTATATATAGAACGTCCGTAGAAAAATATTCCTCATCGAGCGAGTCCTTCAATTTTACTTTTTATGACAGACTCTTTTATTTCATAACTATCTTTTCCTTATGCCCTTATTTTTTCCCCTTAATTAAATTTTTTTCTTTAAATAAAATATATCCCCATTAAATTCATTATTTTAATCAAGTTCTCTCTCGTATATTTTCATCAATTTCCCTCTACATAGAAACTAAACATTGTTTATACTCTCTGTATATTTTGCTATTGAAAATACCTTTCAATTTTCCACTCACAATATCAATTTTTTCACGAGCTTTAAAACAAAATATTGCTTTAAACATTTTACGAAAATGAGATTTAGGAGTAAATGTTTTTTAAAAGCATAAAACAATTTTCTTTTCAATGAACAAAATTCACATAAAAACAATTGTTTGCTGTAAATATAGAACGATGGAAAAAAATTGCATTGACAAAAATTCTTTATTAAAAATTGTAAATATCAGAAAATTTTTACAGTACTATACTATTTCACGAAAATAGAACATTTTGCTTTTGTTCAAAATATGAAAAATCTTGATTTTTTTAGGGGTTGTAAAGTGTTATAAGAAGAAATGTTCTTTTGTTGTCGGTTGCACGAGTGGGATGTAACTTGTTCTCCAAAAACCACTGCTGGAATAAGCGACACGAGGATCGCACTATACGAAACACCATACAGTAAAAGATTTATTGCATCAACCACAAAAAAAGCGGGAGTTGGGAGTATGGCGGGAATGGAAAGAGGAGGAGAAGAGGGGAAGAAATACTACCCTACAGTCGTTCGCAGACACAGAAGAGCACGAATTTTTCACTCTACTGGAGAAAAATAATAAAACTGTAAAAGCTTCCTCTCACTTGTTATAAACTCCAATAGATGTTTTATATCTTCAACATTATTCATGAATAGTTAATTTAATGCGATATGAAATGGAAATCATTTTTCAGTACTTTATAATAAAATCAGAAAAAAAAATCTTAACGACACTAATTGAAAAACATTTGTTCAAAGGGTGTCTACAATAAAATTTTTAAAAAAAATTGCGCTGTCTATTGTGACGTAAAAATTGATTATTTTTACAACTCACAAATTTTGTAATGAATTCAAATAATTTCCTAAAAATTGTTTAAAGATTATTTAATTCAAGCCTTTTATAAAATAAGTGTAAGTGGATGTTTGTCCACTGCCAGATATGACTGACATCATGGATATGTTCGGTAAACCTTGTCGTGGTGGCGGAGCTTTTCACGAAAGGACATCCAAACAGCAAGAATTTTGCAGATGGAAAAACTACAAATAAAGGTTGCAATTTTTTGGAATAGAAAATGATTTACATCTGCGTTTTACTTTGTGCATTTATTCAAGCATTAACATCTGCATTGGAAGTAAATATTTCCTATTTTGAAATTACATTTTAACAATATTATGTATTTATGATCAAACAAATATTTATTGTTAATTAACAAAATTATATTTCGATAACATTGTATACTGATTAGCTAAACTAACATTTATTGTTAATTTATAAAATAAAAAATTTCTTTTAGATTTAACAAAATATTCCTCATAATGAAATCCACAAAGGTAATTATATAAGCTCTCTAATTAACGCTTAATATTTAATATTTAAATATGGAACCAAATAGCCATTTATGGCTATTGTTATGTTGCTGTTTTTATCTTAGTAATTTAATGATTACCGTGGCCGGTAATCATTAAGTAATAACTCAATGTTGTGATAATAAGTAGGTCCTTCCAACCAAAAAGTCGTTCAATAAAAAGAATCGACAAAGGGAAATCGAGGCAGTTGCCCGTGAATATTGGCGAAACAAAGTACATTGACCATAGAAGCTTAAGTTAGGCAGTAGTTGCCTTTAGTCTCAAGAAGAGACTCATGAATATTTGTATAGAGAATTTACGTTGAAGTTATTATAATAAACTCGTAATTTGAGTATTTCATTGAGCAATTTAATAAAAGAATAATTGACATAGTATTTTGTCATATTGTGAAGAATATTAAGAAAGTTAAAAAAAGATACTGATAAAACTAAAATAAATCCTAACAGAAGATTCCAGACTCTAAAATACAGCCAAAGTGAGTATTATTGAGAAAATACCAAACACAAAAAAACACACACAATATTTATTATTATAAAAGATTGTTTTTAGTACATAATAAAATTGTGCCATTAAAAATTATTTAACTTCTCATTTTATTTGAAATAAGATTATCCTATTATTAAATTCATAATACCATATTCCTTTCCAAAATACAGACTCTCAGCCGATTGATTGAAATAATAATGAAGAAGTAAAAGGAATCCACTACATTTAAATAAATTATTTGTTTCCTTAGAGTATTGACGTTCACTATGGGTTGATTTATTTAATTGTTTAACATTTCATTAAGTAATAAATAAATTCATCCTTAGCAGTACACAAAGCTGTTATTCTTTTAGAATGGTACTATTAATTCTAACAAAATAATTTGTCCATTAAGAAATTTCAATCGTAATCGTCAAGACGTTTCATCAAAATTACCAAACGATTCTGCGAACAATAGTTTTAAAAATTATAACGTAATTTATAATCGAGATACAAATCAATTACATACAGATGTCGATGGTAATGATACATACAACTTTGATGAGGAGTTAATGTTTAGTACATTTCGTAACAAGTGTGAACTGATGGCGTTTTTGAAACGAGCGCAACGTTTTTGAAACGAGTTGTAGGCGAGGCGCCGAAGGCGCCGAGCCGGAAACGAGTTTCAAAAACTTGCGCGAGATTCAAAAAGCAGTTCACGCAAGTTACGAACGATACTTTTTATAATAAAGTCATAAAAAAATGCGTTAAAAACGAGACACCCAGATTTGTCACCAAACTAGTTTACCGATATACATTCAAACGTACAAAAACGTTTTGTCGCGCGGGGGGGTTCGGGGGGTCTCCCCCCGACGGGGTCCAGGGGCGGAGCCCCGGCCGGGGGGTTCGGGGGCGGAGCCCCCGACCACAAAAAAACCAACTTAAAAGAGTTAAGCCCCCCGTTCTCAAATAGCCATCTTAAAATTTTAATTATTCTGATATTTGATAAAAAAAAAAGTGAGGTTATGTTGAGGAAATGTTTTGACTAGTTTACCGTTTTAAACGGTAATAATAAATAATAATAATTTCAATAATAAAGTAGATATTATTTATTAAATATTTATATTGTTTATTAAATATTTTATTTTTATTTATAAAACTTTTTAACTTTAAATACTGCAACGGCATGTAATTATAACTTACTTTAAGTAAATAACAGTCTTAAATTTTTTTTTAAACATTATACAATTTTTTATTACTTATTATAATTTATAGTTACGTTGCAATTGTTGAGAACGAAAGATTTTTCCATTGACTCTTTCACATGGTCAAATGTTTCCAAAGAATCATCCTTTTTAATTTTTGGGAGCTTTTTCGGAGTCACATTCTGAGGTTTTTTTTGTCGATCCTAAAATGGATTTAGTTATCTTTTCCGCCGTCGCTTCTTTGTGCTTAATCGATTCGTCAACGTAGCTTTGTGCTACTGTAGCGGATTTCCATCCTCCGAGTCGCTGTAAGTCTAAGGTCGTAGCTCCGGTGTCAGCATAAACGGTAGCGGAAGTCCTACGAAACGAGTGCCCTGTGAAATTCTCCGGATTTTCCAACTTCAGGAACTCAGCGATTTTTTTCGGCATGTTACCGATGGTATTGATACCAATTACTTGGTTGCTGCACTTGCCTTTATGATACTGTACAAAAAAATTGTCCCTCTTTGCCTTTGGAGGACGCAGCGCTTGATACTTTTCTACAAGTGGTACAAATCTCGAATCAATAATAAACTTGCGAGGAACTTTGTTTTTAGTGTCGGGCACGACAACTTCAAAAAGTTCTCCTTGCTTCTTAACGTGATCGACTTTTACTGCATAAATTTCTCCTTTGCGACAACATCCACTCACACCAAAAACGACGACAACCTAAAAACCAATAAAAAATGGTAGTGTATATATATAATTTTCTGAACGAAATTTTAAAACATATTTTATATTTTTTTAAACTAAAATAGTATTTACCTTATAAGCAAGATAAATTTCATCCGGTGCAGTTTCCAAAAACTGATTGATTTGTTCCGACGTGAAAATTTTTGATTTTTTGGCATGATAACCGCGTGAGTTTTGACCAATTAGTGCTGCCAGTTCCTTAAAGTTCTCGATGGAAATATTTTCGTGAATTTGGATTGTTTTTTTTAGTTTGGAATGGATGGACCAAATCGTAGTCGGTTTATATTTTTCCA